AATTAAAGCATGGTGTGCTGCTGTGGCGAGGCTTACCATGATAACACTTTGGCGCATTCTCAGTCACGGAAGCACTAGAATACAGTCCTCTCTTCCGAACGGTTTTCGGTTTTTTCATTTAAACACCTAATAAGTAAAAAAATAGGTAAAACGCCTACTCCAAATGAGATATAAGTGAACATTTACAGGTTGCAAGACGACCAAGAACACAAAAACGGCGGTTAACCAAAAAATTGGCGACTGAGTAAGCAGCTGTGTAACCCTCCTTATGCCCACCTTAGGCTACCTCTGTGATCAGTCGACACGGTAACGGCACCAAGGAGGCCACAAAACAGAGAGGGCACATTAGCGGATCTCACTAAAACAACCAAGCTGCTGAACAGAACGCGCGCTATCACTTGTTTTAGAACTATCAGATCAAGCCTGAGCCCACTGACGTATTTGGGTTGCAGTTGGCAGCATATCGGCGTCCATTATTGTAAAATAGTCTCCTTATTAATAGGAAATTCATTACAGTCGGTGGGAATGGCAACTAGTTTTTGATAAGAAGTACGCAATGGAAAGGTCAATGTCTAGCAAACAAACTAAACAGGGAAGAGAGGCAACAACAGGTATTAGCCTAACTGACGCTGCCGCGAAACCTACACAAGTGTAATCCTTAAGTGCTTTCGTTCGTGCTGAAATGCGTAGAGAAAAACGCTGGGTTGGGTCCTGTCTTGAACCAGGCTATGTCACTCCTCCCCTAAGGTATTAACGAAACCAATGACACCATTTCTGACAGACTACGATCGTGTTTTTTTCTTGATTTCGTTGCAGAGTTTGATGCAGTCAACAGAAGCGTTCATCGTAGAAACATGGAGGCTGGTGGTGTGTACGCGTACCTTCTGAACCTGAGTACATACTTCAAACTCACGCGAACAAGATCGCGAGCATACAGTGAGGAGACTGAGCGATTCGCGTTAACGGAGGCGTCCAGCCGGGCACTGTCATCTTACAAGTCCTCTGACAATGCAACTAAATCAGTTGCGTCGGTACGGTAAGAACTTGTCTCGAACGCACACTGGGTCGACGACATTGGCCCGTTAGGAACCTCCATCTAAGATACATGGTCTACGGTTTATCGCATATTCGCCACCTTCTGTAAATTCAGCCTAAAACTGAACACCATGGAGAACAAAGTATGGTTCAACAGCTCCACGCAGTTAGACCTTACCACTTCTGTGGGTAGTGAGGGACTAAAGACGACCTAGTGTTGCTTACCTATCAGTCCTATATGGGGCTAAACTTAAAACCGTCCCACGCTGCTGAAGCAAAAAAATGATCGACAAGCACAGATGACGCGAAGATGGTTAAATGTTTTATAAATGTTTTGTACAATGTCGCGGATCCCGTCAAAAAAACCACGCACTGAACCCGCAATTCCACCGCTGACAGGACATTTGATAGTGAACCCATAAGAGACTTCCACCTATGATGATTAGGCCGCCCAATATATAGATCCGACGAGGAGCTAGTTCCCGATGACTACTTTCGAAACTGCCTAACTTGGCACTGCGACTGTTGGCCAAGTGAAAATGTGGACGTAGATGATTAACTCAGATAAGGAGAATGCTGAGATCAACATTTTTGTAAATGGAACGCCAAATGAGCAACGGTCACTGCGCAACTAGTTGGTGGTAACAGGGCATGATCCGCAAACATTTGTTACGCCACAACCACTGTAGCTAGCTAAATCAACATCTGTGCCAGCGGACGCAAATGTAACCTACAGCGTGTTATGTGTCTTTCCTGTCGCTGAGCCGACTTACATACATGCAGGCGCGCTAATTGACGGAAACGCCTTGAGATATCGCGAAAAGTGTGCACCTAGTCACCAGTATCTCATGATGTTAGCCCAGAGACCAGGAGCAGATGGTCTTCAACGACTTGGGCACTGGTGGTGGTCATGTGACCAGAGGCAAACCCTTATAGCCTTGTACTAGTAGGTAGGTAGGCTAGTACTAGCCTACCTAGTCCTGCACTAGCGGCCCTTATTTGCGGGCTTGTATGCGGCCAGTGATATGAATTAATAACCTTGTATAGCTGTGATCAGGCTTAACCTGGCCGGTCTCGATTTCACAGACTGTATCTGTCCAGACAACAACTTCATAATCGGTTGACGGCACAGTCTGTGGAAGTAATTCAGCTCACTACCACATCCCAGCCCCTGACACTAATTCAACCGGGAGACTGTAGAACGAATTGTGCCTTTAGAGACTGCTAGTGACAGCCAGCAAATTAAAAAATTAGCCGCCGACTGGCCGTGGGGACTAGATCTGGATGAGCGTGCTGTCGTCAGAGAATACGAAAACAAATAAAGATGCCCCTTAATATGGTTGGCGACGCGTATGAGACACGAGTAGACGCACAACAATGAAACAAAACAGTACATTATGTTGAAGGACCCCTCACCCCCAAGCACACACATAGAGGCCCTTCACGAGCTGATCAAAGCAGCGTCTTATTCGCCAGAATTCCAACACAGTTAAACAGCAGATCAAGCTACAAAAGTAAATGACGGATATTACAAATTTTTAGGTCATCCAACTAACTTACCAATTTTATGAGATCATCTCGAAACCGCTTCATGTTTTAACGCGCGTCGAATCATGATTTCATAGAGTGCGTAGAGGCGACAATTGACAGCTCGACCGTCGTTTCCGAAGACGTCCATTTTGTGTTCCACAAATAGGTGAAGTAGGCACGGTTACTCGCGCGTGAACCAGTTCACAATGAGAGTAGTCTTGCGCAGTATCGACCGCACCCCCCTCCTCACCCACCTGAGCCTGGTGTCAAGACAGATTCAAGAAGACCAAGGGCGGGAGGGGACGCAGGTGCCTGGCACGGCATAAGCTCGCACCTAGACTTACCGTCGCACCGTCTGGTCCATAACATACGGTAACCAGGATTTTAGCCAACAACGAAAATGGACGACGAAATTTACTGGGCAGTCATGCACACGGGCGGCATGCCAAGCAGGAGCGCAACCGCATCCACAGGCAAAGAACTCGAT